CTCTCGTAATTTCTTGCTAGAAGGTGCAAAGTTGTCGAAATACTAGACTAGAGAGTAGTTTTATTTCGGGATAGAAGCGATTTAAGGAAATGTGACACGCTTACAACATGCGCGCTCCTACGGTTCAGTTCGGGAGTGGCTCCCGTGCAGGATACCCAACCTTTCTGCATTAATGAGACGACATATTGGCACCAGAATCGTCCGGGAGGGAAAGAACTCTGATTTGTACATCGGCTGGCCCTCGCAGGTCATTGTATAGTCCGCGTCGCCCTGCATAAACCACAGCTATTCTTAGTGGAAGTGGAATGCGTGCCGCACCCCAAAAGGATTGATCCCTTTGTCCTTCCATCCCCTTTGTCTACTTTCGCACTCATCTAAACTCACAAAAGGAAGATTATTAACCAGGGAATTGCAGGGGATATAGGCAGTTCTCACGGGACAGTCGGGGAAGTTAAAGCGCCTCACAGCAAGGCAAGAGTGCTGGTTTCATCATATTTTACTACTTCATGAACATTTGCCAATGTTTGGGGCTTATCGCATTTCAAAAGCATCCACCACTTCGTTGGAAATATTTGGGACTGCTCAGCGGTTGAAGGACTTTTAATGTTAACAATATCAGGATCATATTGAAATGTCCCTACATCCTAGTACTCCCGTTGAGCAGCTTTTACATATCCGTCTGTTGGTGGCTCTTATCATTCCTCAGTGGCAAACAACTCCAGGCTTTTACTTTTGTGGGACTCGAGAGTTTAGCGGTCGGATCACTTACGACTATATCGCTAGAAGATAGAAACTGCTTGGCTCACTAAGCTTTGCCCATTGACTCTTGGACCACGGTGGTCAAGCTCAGTCGTAAGCAGAGTAGGGAGGCGAACAGATACTGGCTCTTATAAGCCCTTTTTGGGCACTATATCACAACTTATCTCTCACCACTGAAATCTTCCACCATGTTCCCTAACCACCTCTGAATCACTTGCTGGAGGGCAGTTCCCCAGTGTTGTTACGACTCGTGCTATGAAGGGCTATGGTGTCCTATCAGCTGTTATCACGTCCTGCCACCCACCGATAATGTTCCCATCCTGCCCCCTATCTTACTTCTTGGAACCAACGTCCTACGTCGCTGTGACGCACGTTATGAAGTTGATGACTCCTCCCTTTGTAAGGCCTCTTATGGTATCTTATCAGCTGTTATCACTTCCTGCCACCCACCAATAATGTTCCATCCTGCCTCCTATCTTACTTCTTGGAACCAACGTCCCACCGTTGCTGTGGCCCGCGCTATGAATTTGGTGACCCTCCCTTCTAAGACCCCCCTATGGTATCTTATCAGCTATCATCACTTCCTGCCAGCCATCAACAGTGTTCCTGCCCAACCACCTACATCACTTATTAATTTGAGATCTCTATCGCTGTTTTGAAGGAAGTTATGAATTTCCGGTCAAACACACATGCAGACACACACACCAACAGACAAACTTAGCGGATTATATTATTTTAAAGCATACCAGTTGGTGGAAATGCGGGCAGTTTAGCGGCTGACATCGTTCCCATCGCAGCAGTACCAAAACGATAATGAGGAGTTTCACTGTTGGGAGAAGTGCTGATGAACCGGAGAAATATGCCACATTAAAGGTAATTTTCCACACGAAAAGCGACTTTTATTGCATGTCATTTTGGTGGAACATTGATGGCTGTTATCGGCGGCTAATCGTTCCCGTTGTACTGAAAAAGGAAAGGTGAAGTATAAAGCATTTGGAGTCGTGACGCTCATACAATTCAGCTATTGTCAACTAGGAGAACGATGAGGAATAATAGCAATAAACCCGCACTCAATCTACGAATATTTCTCTTCCATAGTGGATCAGATACAGTCCTCATCATTGCAGACCGGTGGGGCGTGTCAGCCAGAAGGAGCGCGCACATTGTTGGAGCCGTTCTCAGCCTTTTTTTGTTGCAACGCGTATGCGACAAAAAGTGGTAGAAAACGAGTAATACGAAGGAATCCTTCTATTCTATAAAGCACTAACTTTGTGTGTCGGTTTGTCGGTATGTATGTATGTATGTAGTATGTATGTATGTCTGTCCGTCCGCAAAATGCTTCACGGGTTCGAGTTCGCTGGAGGCGAAAACGACCGCTAGGCAAACGGGCAAATCGGTGCGGAAGTATCAATCCAATGTTTTGATCGTGATATCGGCCTCCGCTATATAAGACAACCATTCGGTACACTCCGAGCCATTGCACGAGCTGCTGGCGTGGCAGCTGGACGTGTGCTCGTGCGGGGGCAGGGTGGGGTGGAGCCGAGGGGGGACGCCCAGTGCCCCCCCTCTGCTTCCTTCCCCTGCGCGTGCTCAGCCCGATCTGAGCATGCGCAAGGGAAGGAAGCAGAGGGACGGTCCGACTGGAACACTGGGGTTTTGTTCCAAGGTATGATATAGGTTACGGCACAGGAATATGTGGGTGACAAGAACTGCTAGCTGCTGATAAGGGGAGTTAGAGTGGAAAGGACAACATACTCATAACGCGGGACATAGCATCAGTTAGGCGTTGATTTCAGCAAATGATATCAAGGGGAAGGTGGAGAAGGCGACGGCGGGTGACAGGAAATGATAACTGATAGGGCCTGATAGAGAAAGATGCAGTGTTGCTCAATCAAATGCTGGAGCCTCTACACCACGAAATTATGGAGTTTTAGTGATAGCGACATTGATGACGGGTGACAAGCAATTTTATCAATTGATAAGTAAAGATAAGGGGACATTCTCACGACATCTCTGACCACTACACTGCCAAAAAGCCTCTCAGTAAGCGAAATTTTCCCACAGCCATCACTCCTCTGATAGCACTAGAAAATGTACTCATCCCACTAGGGGGGGGGTATACTTCGCCTGAAACAGGGAAGTTTTGGAAAAATCAAAATATTGGAACACACTTTATGCGTTCAGTGAGTATTTACTTTTTTTTGCTTTTCAACTTTTAATCACTGATGAGAACGAATAACGAAGTAGTTTGTAAGATATTCAATGAACGCAGCCTAAATATTGTCATCTGCAGCCATTCATGCAACCTTAGCAGGTGGATTGCATGTTAATGACAAGTTAATCGCCCATCGTTGGTGTTGTGATGCAGGTAATAAAAACGGAATTTGTTCATCTACTGTGCAACACATATTGATATTCTGTTCTTCCTATATATTTCTAAGATCTACGTATAGAATGGGCTGAGGGGTGCAGATTTCGCTGCAGATTTCGCTAGGTTACTCTGTCTATTATGATTCGACCACTACCGCGCAATATGAGCAGCTCATGCAATTAACAAATTCCATCCCGTCATGATGTGCGCCTGGCGAAGCCAGGCCAGCTCGGCGAAGCCGAGCTAAAAAGAAGGAGGAGAGCTCGGCGTCAGCCGGGCGATCCGACTGGTAATACAGTATGCACTTGCCCGCTTCAAAAACTGGTGCAGAACGATTTTGCCGAAACCGCACCAAACGCAGCCGCACTGCCACGCCCCACCGGTCCGCAATGATGAGGACTGTAAGTTTTGTTTCGGGGCATACACCACACTTCTTCAAATTAGGGGAGCGAAACTTCATACCTTTGAAACATTTTGCACAACCGAATAAAATGCAGCGCGCTGGGGATATCGGAAGAAAATGGAACCTTTTCTCAGGCTGATTTGAGCGTGGAAAAAAAAGTCGGGTCTAGGACCTTTACCTTCTTTGACCACCTCACTGCTGCCTAGCACCTTACTGTCTATACTTAGAAATAGTGAACGCCCATAACCACATGAAACCTCGGTGGACTGTTTGAATCCTTTTCTCCATAGATATTCCTAGCTGGTTGTCTTGCTCATTGACTTTGCTACTGCAACGTAACAGCAAGAAGTTTTAACGAAACAAGATGGACACACTCAAAGTCTTTTGCTATTCTACGGTGACAGCGGTGATACCGTAAAGTGCTACGTCGTCACTATTGAGAAAACCTCTTCAGATCCGTGATCAATAAGTAAGTGTTCCAGTTCACTCTGTCTGCATTTGTAGCGCCCTCGCGTATCTATTGGGCGCTTCGTGTCAAGGTCACTCATACCCATTCTATTGGCGCTCCCAAAACTTGATCCTTTCGATTACAGTTCTTTATTCAACGTAAGGCCGTAACCAGGTGAATGTGATGAGTTTATTTCAATTCGATCCCTCCTGTAATAAGTGGCCAAGTGAACCTGAGGCTTTTCTGTGTTTCCATGTGTGTCGAAAATGCTTTGTTTGTTGCGTTCGTTGTCTCACGTTTTCTCCCATTCAGCAGTGGTGCGACCACCTCAGACGGTTCCACTATGAAGTTGCTACTCCTCATCGCAGCCACTTGCTTAACAGTATTTGGGTCAAAAAAGTCATCTAAGGATGATTTGTCCAATGGTGAGTTTTTTTACGTTGAGGTGGCTAGTGTTGCTTGCTGCTTGTGAATTGGAGGACGACATTTGCGTTGCTTGGCTCTTACCAGCCTCTTGCTGTATTTGCTGCCAGTTGGCCTCCACCTGGAACAGTTGGGTCAGTAAGTCGTACCCTGTTTCCAACGGCTTCGAGATACTCGTTGTGAAAGCACAACGTAGTGTTTTGACCTTTTTATACCTACTCATACGAGCCTGGCACCAAATGACTGACTGAAAAAATTAGAAGTATTTGCTGACTTGAGCAGGGTTTGAACCCAGTGCTCCAGAATCCACCTCTTTTTGAACTATGCATGAGCTACTATTGCCAATCATTTCCGTAACCTGCTTTATATGCCCCATGCAGTCGTATTTTAAATTCATGGTTCTGCGATGGATATTCAAGTTCCGGTTGATTTGCACCTTTCTTCGGGAACGGGGACAGGAGATCGCCTCTTTTGTTGCAAACCCGATATCAAAACTGTGAAAGGAAATCAAGAGTAACCGTTCCACTGCACATCAAGTTGCCCTTCCCATGTCCTTTTTCGTTCCGCAGCCAAACAGGTAACAAAACCGGATGCACTTTCCCCGTGTGGAAGGTTTCAGGCTGAAGGTAAGGTCTGCGCGAGAGTTTAGACCGATTGTTATTGTAGTTTTCTTGGCATAAAACTGTTTAGACTGTCAATCGGCGCAGCGATTAATGTTGAATATTTATGGGAAACCTTCTAGTGTATTGGAAATCACGAGTTTTTCATCGAAGGAAGTAACGTTTGACATCAATGCACCTTTTTTATAGGGTTCCGTACTGAAATAGATTGGGTGGCATGGGATAAGGCAGTTGGAGTAGCGAAGGATCTCAACAAACCGATTTTCTTCCTTATTCACAAAACCTGGTGTGGAGCATGTAAAGGTAAGCATCATTTGCTCTTTCGAAAATCGAAATATTTACTGTGATTTCACTTTCTCACTTGTCTTTTTGTGATTATCACTGTTCATACCAAGTAAACCAAATAACTCTAAAGCGTTCTAGTTGCCGTGTAGCATACTCGAAATACCTGAGATGGGGTAGGCGTGGCTGCATACTTGAAATAAAAGTGACGGCGGCCAGGGTTTTCATAAGATATTTTCGTTTTGGGACATTGTGATCATGTGCTTGTTTAATCCTGAACAAGATTGCAGTTGTCTCAAATTGAAATATTTGACGAGTAGCCTAAACTATGTTACGTCAAATGCCACGCCCACGCCTTTTCAGGATAAGGAGGAGTCCATCGATGACTGCTGTCCAAATGGGATATGGTTTTTACCAATAGTGGCCACGTTCAAGTACAAAATAGCTAATGATATAAGACGCCACGGTAGGGCCTTTCGAGCCCCCCCCTGACGACCGCTCCGTCAAATTGGTATATGTGACAACACAATCGTAATATGTCGCGCTGGTGGGCGCGGCGAGCGAAGCCGAGAACTACAGACAAGCTCTGCATGACCGTGATTACGAATGTGGTAGACGTGGAAAAGTTAGATATTTCCTAAAATGAATCTTGTTTTTGTCAAATCCTAGCCTACCTAACTCCTGTTCAAATGATCACTGCTCCAATCGACAAAATGATGCACTTCGAGAATATACTGAGCACGGCCGAATGCTAGGCAGGCCGTGCGCGACGGCGCGCAAGCTGAGGCCTACTTAAGGGCTCACAACTGGCCCTCCCCCTTTCACACAACGACACTATGAGTGCTTCTTTCATTATATTACGGAATGGTGTCCAGCACATTTCTGTCCTCTTCGATAGTGGGTTACGGATGTGCATATAGACGAAAGGTGCTGTGTAACTCGTTAGTGAGGAAAACAGCAGAAAAAAAACATGCCAACTGCCCTAGATAGAACCCCATTTCGATCCCAGTTTGTACGTGCCCAATGAACTCCATCTCCAACACTACGCCCTCATCCGCACAGCTGATTCCCCGATAAGAACTCTACGACCGTACAAGTGACGATTTTCATGCTTTTTCGTCCTGCAGCTTCGTTTTTTACTGAAAGCGGGCCTTGAAGGCGGAGGGAGGCGGAGTCACTGGGAAAAAAGGAGGCGTCACTGAGCTTATTACGCTATAGCGCCCCTCCCTTACAATTTTTTGCCGCGAAACCGGTACAAGGTTGTTCGTCGCGGACCACACTACCCTCTCGACGCCATATTTTCAACTTTTATACCTGATCGCTGACCGTACCTTTGAGGAGAGATCTGCCCTTTAGTTCAAACCAAGTCCTGATAAACGAACCACAGAAGAATTGGAAGGCCCCTTCCGTACCTTTCGCCACCTCAGATTTCATTGTAACTAGCGAAAAGCTGCCACCACAACCTCAACATCACGGCTGGGATGTGGAATGATATATCCAGTGGACGAAGACGAGGTCATGTGCGCGGCAGCGGACGTCCGGTGGATGCCACATCCGCGCTAGGCTTATGAACTGAATGCAGCTTTCCGACTTAGTTACTTTGACATACTGTAGTTCCTCCGCTTCAAATCTGTCAGTTCCTGGTGCAAATATGTGCTCATGGCGCCGTCTTTGCCGAAAATCCTGCACCCGAGCAGGCCCTGCTGATATGATTGCGGTAGACCTTCCTTCTAGTATAAGCGAAAATCACTTAATACTTCATTTTAAGCTGTTCTTACATAGCTGGGCTACCGTCTTACCTGAAAGTGTGCGTAATGCTGAACTCACTGCACATACAGGAAAAGGGAAACAAGTCGGTAGTGAAGGGACTGAAACTAGCGAGCACTCAACAAAAGTTCAACTGTCCAGATAGTCCGCAGAATGCTTTGTGTAACGCTTTGTATGAAAAGAATGCTTTGTATACGAAAGAATTGGCAAAAGGAGGGTAAAGGGGTATGATATCGTTCGAAATAACGTAAGTTGCTACTGTGATGTTGCTGGCAGAAAACATGTTTGTGAACTGGTAGAAGGTGCAGGCAGTTTGCTTGGGTGAGGCCTATCTTACTGATCGTTCAACTGCACCAAAAACGAAAGTTTGGCTTTTGAGCGTACACGAGACAATGCCAGGTCTTATACATGTGAATTACTGCACATGAATACGATTGTTCTCATAACAAATCTTCGGATCATTTTTGGTGCTCGATGTGTGACTTCTTTCTCATTGCTCTCCTTTTTGCAGTTCAGGCTGTCGGTCTTTTTGGGTCTTTTGCAACTTGATTCATCAATAATTTCCCGTGTGCTTTCCGGACGGCTCTGTCAACTTGCTGGATCGCCTCGCTTCTATTTGCGCATCTACCTTTTGTTGCGTATATGGGTCGCGCTAATGAGTTTCTTGTCGATTCCTACTCTCTGCAAGTTCAGACCGTGCTGATGAGTTTTCTAAATCTCATAAGCGAAAAGGAAGCATCTAAACCACTGTGGTGGACTGTGAAGTGCTTGGTACACTAATTGATAAAAGCATGTACGAGTGCATATAAGCCGCTGGGCAAACTCCAGTTGAGGGTGCATCGTTGTACGAAATCCATCAAAGGGCTCATGCATGCTCGCTGCGGAAGGAAGGTTCGGTGGTTTTGATATGAAGAAAACAAGAAAAAGAAGAACAATAATGAATGGGTTTTGGTACACTGACGCAGGATATTTCCCGATATGAAGAGAAGTATAGGACAACTAACGATATAGCTAACAAGAGCAGTTCGGCGACGGGGGGGGGGGCATTTTACACTTCCGTTGCTTCACTAATTCCGGTTTACAAGTCTCACTCCGGTGAAACCTGTGAACTCTTGTGAAGCTGGAGCAAGCTCGTCAAGCCATCATGGTAAAACCTGTCAACTCGAGAAGAGGCTGTCTAGATGGGTCGACACGTCGATGGGAAGTAGCAAAAACGCAAAACGCCCCTCCCCCGTCGGTGGACTGCGCCTAGCTACCATTTTATAACACTGCTGTCCTTTCTAGGAATCTCCTAATCCTGTGCTTCCAGGAAACATGGTTGACCAAGGAAATACCTCTTGTTTATTGTGGGGCTACCCGGGGAATAGGGTGGTGGGTTTATAGAAGGTGCAAGCACTTCATTTGCTGCATCTTATCTTATTACTTGTTCAGTCGCTCCAAAACAATAGAACTTGACTCTGAGTGTACACGAAACCATGACAGTATTATCCATGTGAACTACTGCACAAGAAAAAGATTGTCCTGCTCCAGCTATGGTCCTTCGACTGACCAGAACAGTTGGAATCGAACGGCTTTATGTTGGGCGAATGGGGCGATTGAACCCAGGTCTCAGTATTGTTTGTGTCCTAGCACTGCCCTATAATACAGTTACTCGGAGGTCTGCCACTGTGGCAAGCAATGGTGGCCTTCTTGTAGTTGTGTGGGACCATTGTAGAATCCATTTGTCGATCTGATTGTCGAGGAACAGGCAATATACACCGACAGTGACGATTTTATTCTCTGTATAGAGCCGCTTGAAAGCCACAGTGCAGAAATCCTTCGCTATGATGATCATCCACTTGGGCCCACGTAACTCCTCATGGTAGAACTCGGGCGGCTTCTCATCTGCATTCATACAAAATTGACGATTGTGAGGAGTTCAAGACCGCCCTTATTTTGACTAGGGCCGCGGTGTATTTCCACAGTCGTGAATGACATCTCATGCTGAGAACATTACTGCTAGAGGTATAGAATCGGTACTGCGTTCGTGCTTCTACAAGAAAATTAGGTACCCATGCGCACACCCTCTTGACCATCCTCAGTTTATCGGACATAACTCGGGCAGCAGTTGCAGGGATGTCAGTCTCGCGGGGAAGCTCGACAAAGGTCCAGGCTCTGTGATCAGACATTCAGCGCTTGACTTCATCCACCCTTTTTTCTTGTGCAGGATGAACATTATGGGACCATCCACGACAACAAATTTTTTCCTTTCTTCCTTCTTCGGGCTGAACCAAACTTCCACCACACATATTTCAACTGTTTCGCACGAATGCTATTCTTTGAGCAAGCGCACTTTTTAGCACGAAGCTCAATCTCGCAAATCGCGCGCATGGTCACACTCCAGCCGCTTCAATCTTCATTTCTCGAAGACTATCTCTCAGTGGGTTAGATTCCTGCAACCCGAATTCTCAACCAAGACTACATAGCCTGGAGGCCCGTGGCTTAAACGTCAGTACATTGTGAAGATTAGACGACGCCACCCCTTATATCCCTCGAAGAAAAGAGAAGTCCAGCAGTTTCTTTTCTCACTAGATTCTGCTGTTCAATCCACCCGTTCATTCCAGCAACCTAGCTCGCGCACCAACTAGCGAACGACTCGAAAGTCCATAACCGCTCGTATTCCTCCGAAACGCTGGTCTCTCCCCTACAAACACCACACCTCACGAGCCTCAGCACCCCCACCACTCATCAAAACACTAACCCCCCCCACCCCGCCATCGGTCATCTGCGGCGCCCGACTCGACTTAGCCAGCCAAATCAAATCCGCCACCCACGCCCAATCGGCACTCTCCGCATACCCACATCTTCCACAACAGCTTGGCCTGCACCACCAACCGCAAGCCTCTCTCATCGCCACGTCCATCCTCGTCTCCCCACCGCTCAGCCTTGGATCCACGCCCCTCAGTCTCTCCTCCCTCTCCGCCTACCGAAGCTTCCAAGTCGTCGCGCACCAACGTCAAAGACACAAGCCAAAAGCCCCGCGCCATACACAAATCCATGGGAACCACCCAACTGCAACAAGGGAACAAGACACGCACACACTCCATCCACTCCGCGCCACAGCATTCCTCACTGCACACCGGCAGCTCCCATAGTATTCCGCTCCCCCCCCGCCCACCAACTCACAAGAAGACACGAAACCCACAGGCCTATGCCCCTCTCAGCCCCAGCCTCGCGCGACCGCACAAACCTCGAAACTCCTACGCACTCACCCTCCAACCCTCATGAGTAACTCAACGGCTCACCAACATCCAAACTCCACGCCACTGACCACACCCACACCCTCTCTCACCCTCAGCACCGACCTTCCGACAATCTGTGCGGACTATATTCGTCTCGAACACACAACAAAAACTTCGAATACATCTTTTCGCTCCTATGGCCACTCACTCATATCGCCTTATCTTAGCACCTCGCACAGCACACACTCCTTTCCAACACCCGCCACCGGACTCCGCGCGCACTCACGGTCTAGCACCCACCAGTTCCGACATCCATCGAGTGTCCGGCGAAGACGACGTCAGCTCGCATGCGCTCCCCACGACGAACACACCTTGATGCACGTTTTCCGCATGAAAAATTATAAGGGGGGGGGGGTGCTATAGCGCAATATCAGTCAGAGAAACCTCTTTTTTTCAGGCCTCTAGACTCCAGCCCTCAAGGCCACCTTCTCGAAACGAAGCTGCAATAAAGAAAAAGCATGAAAATTGTCACTTGTACGGTCGTAGAGTTCTTATTGGGGAATCAAGTGTGCGGATGAGGTCGTAATGTTAAAGATGGAGTTAATTGGGCACGTACAAACAGGGATCGGAATGGGGTTCTATTTAGTGAGTCGGCATGTTTTTTTTTCTGCTTTTTTCTTCATTATCGAATTACTCGGAACCTACATAATCTTCTATATGCAAACCCCTGATCCGCTATCTGTGGTAGCGAATAATCGCGGGCTTTGCCTTCAAACGAACCGAGCCAACGATATTTCTGGCACCTATTAATTTTACTGCCATCGGCATGTTTGTTAAAAGACTTCAATTTTTTACAATTCCTTTGCTTTATTCTACCCATCCATAATAGCGTACCACATAGCTTCAGACAGGACTATTTGGTGAATGCAGGAATCAAAGCAATAAACGCGCCCGAAAAGCCTGGAGAAGACATAGTGCGTTTACCGATGTAGCAGTGCACCTTGTCACTACCTCATTCTCTAGTTGGCGGAAGCTTTGTAACAAATGATCAGCAGGACGCCGAGTTGTCGGCAAACCGTTTCACCTCATCCGCTACTGCCAATCCGCTACTCCACCACAGAGATTAGATTTTTCGCGTGAGGACGCCACGTACTCTCTGTCATCGCTTTCTACGTGTTAGTACTGAAAAACTACGCAAATTTCGCTAATCAGAGAAAGTCAACAGTTCAGCCCGGCCAATGTGATGATGTGCACGTCATTTAATGCGCTTTGAGACGATGAACTCAAATCTGCCGTCGAAACTTGCGAAACTGTTCTCTGAGTAGAATTATGGAGGTTTTTCCCCCACAGTTTTTTCCTTGGGGAGGACGCGCGGGCGCCGAAGGGCGTAGCGGATGAAGTAGTCGTTTTCGCTCAAAATGGGCGTGATTCCACACTTCTAGGCGGAATAAGAAAAAACTAATAACGCAGGTGAACAGCCTTCCATGACTCCGTTAAGAGAATCGTTTACCAGATTTGGAAGGTAAATGTGGTCCACTGTTCCAAGACGCGCACGACGGTATACACAACATTAAACATGGCTGCACCAGCCTTGTTTGGTAAGCTGACAGCAGAGTGATAACTTATGTTCCATGAGACGTTCAAGAATTCATCCGCGAAACTGCACAGATTGGCGATCATAAGCCAAAATACTATGATGTCCGAGCAGGCTTCCCGAGATATCCTCCTACATCTTTGTTGAGGTATAGCCTTTATTTTGACCACAGTTAAGTGCCTCTTCCGTCAAATTAGTGACGAGTTCACAGCAGCGAAGAACTGTGGCTAAGAAGGGATGATTCTCTTCTTACAGAAGAAGAAGAAGTGAAAATTCCATCAGAAACAGCGAACAAATGGCGTCCCTTTAACATTATAATTTAAACGCTAGGCAGACATCTAGTCTCTAGCCGCGTACGGCGTCGCTTGGTCCGCCCGTCAGCGCCGCATATTACGATTCTTTTGTCACATATACGTAAAATGTAATTGGTGGTAGATGAACAGTGAACTTACCAAGGCTACAAGTTCATTTTTGAAAAAATTGTTAATGATGAAAAGCACATATTTCAGGCCTGAGGAGGGAGTTCGAGAACTCACCCAAAATGACTGAACTCATCGAGTTGTCCAAAAAGTTTGTGATGGTTAATGTAGAAGATGATGATGAGCCCGAAGATGACAAATACGCTCCTGACGGTGGATACATCCCACGAATTTTATTCTTAGGTAAGGAATTGCAGGTATTCTCAAGATACACAGTGCCATTCAGGTGCGTATTAGCTTTCGTCCGATCTCACTAGGGAAGGTCGTCAGGTGGAAGTGGCCGTTTGTAATGAGATGTAGCTCACTCGACGTGGTGCCTTTGAAATTTGCAAAACGATTCTCTGAAAGGAATTATGATGGCTTGTTAGAATTAAAATGAAGGAAAACGGAGTCGAGCGCGGTTGCCAGCCAGTTCGCATGAATAGCCGGGAAGAACCTTCACGTTCCGGCGTCATGGTGTAGTGGAGGGTTCGAATTTCTGGAACAGGAGTTCTTTTGCATTTTGTGGAGAATGTCTCTTCTGAGTCTAAAAAACACTCAACGCTGAAATGGGTGCCATATTCGTGTTCAGGGAGCAAAACTACCCTTGGAGACAAGTTTCTAGCCAGATGTGAGGTTTTGACCTAACTTTGAAAAGTGCGGTAGCAGTTGATCGAATGATGGTCACCAATAGTTCCAGGGCCAGTCTCTTGTCGATTGCTTGTCTTTTGGCCGAATCGTTGCTTTGTAGATATCAGCAAACTGAAGGCAGTAAGCAACAAGGAATGCGTAAAAGTGGCAAGACGAGGCCTTTGTTGCGGGAGAATGTATGTATCTGTATCTATCTATATATGTATCTAATGTATCTGCAGCTGAATAGGTGTGAACATCAACTGAACTAACCCATGGATGCTTCACTTTTCGAAGTCAGGTCAAAATGCCAGATTTGGCTAGAAACCTCTACCTAGGCGTAGTTCGCCCCATAAATACGAATATGGCACTCGCTCAGCGCGAAAACGCACTGCACGCCAAGGGCACCTGTACATCCTAAAAATTCTCCTCCTAAATCATGTCATGAAGCACTAAGCGCGCCAGTAAGCGAACCAAACTGTTTTTCAGGCAAGCCGAGAGAGCGCTAATGTAGAAGAGACGCCCCAACCACTTTTTGCCACGTTTGCGCTGGAAGCAAAAAAGTTAAGCTCAGCAGGGATCCGATCCCATGACCTGTTGCGTGGTAAACGCGGAGGGAAAAGCTCCATAACTCCGTTCAGAGAATCGCTTTGCAAATTTCAAAGGCAGATTCGAGATCAGCGTCCAAAACCACGTCTAGTGAGCTACATCTCATTACAAATGGCCACTTCGACCTGACGACCTTCCCTAGTCAGCACATTTCCTCTTCAGATACTGATGCGGAGCCGTTGAAGACTAACAATGGCGCCAGATACAAGAATAACAAATATTTCTATCCACTTGTCCCACAAGTACTTGATGGAATGCAGAGAGCGCTCGACGAGTTTGAAGCAACATCGAAGGTGGGCTGAAGGTGTTTCGCTTCTCGAACCTTCTCCGTGTTCTATACACTGGTTAAAGAAAATACACAGTTTTTTCCTTGCAGGCCGGTTGAGGTATGGCGCGCGGTGACGGGGGGTAAGGGGGCATTTTGCAATTGCGCTGCCTCACCACATCCGGTTTATAAGTCCTAATCTGGAGAAACCTGTGAACCTTGCGAAGCTGGAGCAAGCTCGTCGATCCACCATCTTGAAAACAGTCAACTCTTGTAAGCTCACGAAATCTATGGTGGGTACGACTCGTCGACGGGAAGTAGCGAAAGTGCAGTATGCCCCTTTGCTGCCAAACTTATTCTTTGTTTTGGTGCCCCTGCTTCATGGATAAGCATTGCGAGGAGTACTCCGATCAACATGTGCGCGCGGCGTCAGCATACAGTTGCAGATCTGAGAGAGATAAAAGATGCACTAGCTTTTGCCGTCTGCGCTCTTTTATGCACACCCTGTCTTTCTTTTTTTCTCAGGTGACAGGGTGCTTCATAATGTTCTGCCATGTTATGCGCAAATCGCTAACTCCTCCCATCCGAATCTCAGGGGTCCCTGGCTCAAGAAAGCTAGTGACTGCCATCTCGAAATCATAACCTTTTCCCGCAGTTGGACGCTTCAGCGGTTTGATTAAATGGCAGCCAAAAGGCCCAAAGTTTCGGGACACAGAGTGTGACCTGTTGAGATCTGTGGTTTTTGGCGACTGCTTGAAAGGAAATGTGGGCGAGGGGAGACGGCCAGGAGTCACCGCCGCGCTTGAAACTAGGTCACCGCGCGCGGCGACCTGTCCGCGTGGCGCGGCGGTGAGTCCTGACCTGGCATTTTGCCAAGTTCCGATCAATACGACCCTATCGCCATTTTCTTGTAGCGTTCTCTCTTTTCCTCATCTTCCATCTGCCAAGAACATGTCCAGACAGGTAGACATGTTCAAACATGTTAAAGCATGTAATCGCCGCGCGCGTTGACCCACTTCCCAGCGCGGCGACCTAGTTTCGGGCGCGGCGGTGAGTCCTGACACACACCCGGGCGAGCACTGCCGTCTACTAGGAGGACATTTGGCAGCCTCAGACCTTGTCTCGACTCGACTTATGTCGGCTACATAGTTTCAGTTGCTCCATGAGAGCAGCAGGTGCAATAGCCTTGTCTACAGACAAGTATGTCGGACTTTTTATAGCTCACAGCTTGCCGTCATGTACCACTCTCTGTGCACCTTCGCGCAGAATTTCGTCTTCTTCGAAGCTCAGAACATGAAAAAGGAGGGATGATTTACTTCTTTTAGAACTGTTACACTCTGCTCTGATGGCGTCACTCCCGAGATGTAATCTACCAGTTTGGCTAACGCGCAATACTGCGCGCATGGTTAAACCTATGGTACTGATCACTGAGGGGTTTCTCTGCTGAGCACAACACTTGGCCCAATCCCCTTGTTTCGGAATACGGCCCATTTCATCGTGTTTCTCCCTTTTAATGAACATTTGCCAATGACTGGGCTTATCACGTTTTTGACAACACTCGCCATTCGTTGGAAATAGGAAAGCTTAGCGGTTGAAAGAGTTTCGGGGGTAATAACAGACAGCAGAGTGAAATGTCCTCACATCCTAGTACACAACTTAAGGTTGAGGGTCGAATCAATTCCGACTATATCGCTAAGATAGAAACATCTTGGCTCACTAAGCCTTTGCCCACAGTTTCTTTGGCCATGGTGGTGACCATATACGGACTCCTAAAAGCCCTTGTCGGACACGACCTGAACTTATCTCCCACTACTAATGTTACCTATGCACCCCTGAATTACTTGCTGGAGGCAATTCTCCAGTGTGGCTACAACTATGCTGTGAATTTTTGGGGCTATCTTATCAGCTGTTATCACTTCCTGCCACCCACCACTAATGTTCCCATCCTGCCCCCTATCTTACTGCTTGGAACCAACGTCCCGACGTTGCTGTGGCCGGCGCTATGAATTTAGTGGCCCTTCCCTTCTAAGGCTCCTTATGTTATCTTATCAGCTCTTATCACTTCCTGCCACCCACCACTAATGTTCCCATCCTGCCCCCTATCTTACTGCTTGGAACCAACGTCCCGACGTTGCTGTGGCCGGCGCTATGAATTTAGTGGCCCTTCCCTTCTAAGGCTCCTTATGTTATCTTATCAGCTCTTATCACTTCCTGCCACCTACCAATAGTGTTCCTGCCCGACCTCCTACATCACTTATCAGTTTGAGCGCACAGTCGCTGTTTTGAAGGAAGTTATGAATTTCCGGTCAAGCACACATACAGACACACAAACATACATCCACACACACACACACACACACCAACAGACAAACGCAGCGAATTATATATAGTAGGATAATGATGTTTTTCCCTACCTAACCAAACGTGCACATGAGCTCAATCTAATATACCATCCTACTATATATAATCCGCTAAGTGTGTGTGTGTGTGTGTGTCTGTGTGTCACGAAATTCATAGCGCCCGTCCCAGTAGCTGTAGGAAGTTGATTCCAAGCAATGATATAGAGGCTGTGACGGGAACATTATTGGTGGGTGACAGGGAGTGATATCAGCTGATAAGATCCGATAAGAGGCGTCAGAATGGGAGGGCCATCGGGTCCATAGTGCAGGACACAACAACAATGGGACGTTGGTTCCAAGGTATGGTATAAGGTGTGGGACAGGAACATTATTGATAGGTGACAGGGAGTGATATCAGTTGATAAGATCCGATAAGAGACGTCTGAAGGGGAGAGCCATCGGGTCCATAGTGCGGGACACAGCAACACTGGGACGTTGGTTCCAAGGTATGGTATAGGGTGTGATACAGGAACATTATTGATGGGTGACAGGGAATGATATCAGCTGATAAGATCCGATGAGGGGAGTTAGAACGGTAAGGTCCCCACACTCATAACGCAGGACACAGCATCAGCTAGGAGTTGATTTCAGAAAATGATGTAGGGTGGGATGTGGGGACATCGACGGCAGGTGACAGGACGTGATAACAGCTGATAGGGGCAGATAAGGAACGTTGCCATTGTTGTTCAGTCAAAGTGCTGGAGCCTTTACACTACCATATTATAGAGTAGTAGTGATAGGGACATTGTTAACGAGTGACAGGCAATCTTATCAATTGATAAGAAAGATAAGGGCAGTTGTCATTACATCTCTTATCGCTATACTGCCAAGTATTGGAGGCCCCGTGTGCAAACTTTTCCTTTAGCCATCACTTCTCTGATAGCCTAGAAAATGAACTCATCCCACTAATGTCGAATGTCGAAGTCGACGAGCGGGGGGGGGGGGTTGAACTTCCAATTGCTGATTAGATCGAATAACAAGGGCTCATAGTACCTACAAATAGTTATAGTTCAGCGGATTGCAAGCTAAGTGAAAAGGGAAACGCTCATCGGTAGGCATTTCGGTGCAGGGAATGGAAACGAAATCTGCTTTTTACTGAGCGATTCATACTGCGCTGTATTGACCTACTACACATTGTGTCTATATCTACAGATTTATGTTTTGTATCGTAATGGCGCGGACCACACCCCTGCCCCTGCTGCAAATAGAAGCGTGTGCTAAGTAGTGCACGATCCCAAGCCTTCCTCTATCTGCAACGATTCGATCACTGCAGCGCCGTATGAGCAGCCCACTATTGAAAAAGTTCCGTTTCCATTATGGAACGCGCCTGGCGAAGCCAGGCCAGCTCGGCGAAGCCGAGCTAAAAGAAGGAGGAGAGCTCGGCGTCAGCCGGGCGATCCGACTGGTATGACTAGAAAGTTACAATCTCCTATGCTTTTGCCTCGCTGCTTTGACGTCTTGACGAATTAGTCTTTATTTGACTCTTGATAGACTTGACAACTTGATTTCTCCCTAACGGTCACCTTCGGGAGCAGGTCCGCTCAGTCAGGCTGGCTCGATTCTCCCGCCCTCTCCCATCTCCCTGCTCAAGCCTCCACGACCAGAGAGGGCGGCGGCGATCCGCCCTGCCATCCGCTCAGTCCGGCCCCCTACCAGAGACAAGGCACAGAGCTTTGTTACTAAAGGACGAACACCATGACGGAGTCCATCGCGCATTGCCCTCCTAGCTGCTTGATCGTGACGAATGTCGTTTTACCAGGCTGCGTATGTTCCTTGAGGGCGAGTATCCTTGCTGCCAACAAAGCGGAGCGTAAAAAGGCCGTTTGCTTAACATAAGGGTGCTTGGTTCACGTTAGCAGCAACTGTTCGAACGCTCAGCTGTCCCCTTCGAGCGTACCCTTAGGCATGACGATGGTCCAAGCTTGCTGCAATCGACTGTTCAAAATCCAAAACCCTTTACTCCACGCCTATATACCGCATAGCGTGGTTAATAACTTCGCGGACATTCTGTGGAGTTATCACACTGCTTTGTTTGTACAAGAACTTCTACATTTCAGATTTTTTGAAAACTTTCTTTTCACTCTAATAGATAGTCCAGTTTAGCATCAAAATTGTAAGGTATTTTTGAATGCTGCCCAATTTATTGCCAGTACCAGTATTTATTTTCAGCCCAGCAAGGAAACTGGTAAATCATCCAGTTCAAAGCCTGACGAAAAGGAGAAAAAGGAAGCAGTGAAAGAAAAGAAGGACAAGGATGACTCTAAATCTGCTACAAAGGAGGAGAAGAAGACAGAGAAGAAAGAAGATAAGAAAGAGAAGAAGGCGGACAAGAAGGAAGACAAAAAGGAGAAGAAAGAGAAGAAGGAAGACAAGAAAGAGAAGAAGGAAGACAAGAAAGAGAAGAAGGAAGACAAGAAAGAGAAGAAGGAAGACAAGAAAGAGAAGAAGGAAGACAAGAAAGAGAAGAAGACGGAGAAGAAAGATGACAAAAAGGAAAAGAAGGAAGAGAAGAAGGATGACAAACAAGATAAGAAGGACAAAAAGGAGAAATCTGAGAAGAAAGAAGAAAAACAAGAGAAGAAGAAGGAAAAGGATAGCAAGAAGAAAGATGAAGACAGTAAGAAGGATAGCAAGAAAA